GTTTCAAAACAGGGAGCGATGTAATTCTTCTAGGTTGCTCTCAAGTGATCTGAGAACAACCTCAGATAAACATCCTGTTGCTAGGTGCACAAGCTGTGCGCCTAGCAGCATCCTGTGACTTTTCCTGGTCTCCACTGTATCTGCTGTTTTACCTCAAAAATAAATTAATTGGAGACACTTGTATCTTCTCAGTGTTTATAATTGTGCAGTCATTGTCCAGGCAGATGGTGCTGCTGTTCAGGCTGCAGGCTGCTCATTAATATAACTGACTTTAATGATTTGGAGGATTTTATTATGTTGGCCACTGTTAGTTACTACCTGACTCACCTTTCCTCTGCAGCCAGCTCATTCTCATGACAATGGAGTAGGGATCCCCTCTTAAATGTATCTTGCTGACTGGATGTTTTACAGTGTGTAATCGCGATTTCATGAAATATACCCATCATTAAGGTTTAGTTGGGGTTGGTCTGAGAACACACCCCTGAAAGCAGATACTGATTAACTTTGATAGATGGCAGCAGATGTCCGACTTGCGGCCATACTACTGAGGAACATTATGAAACCTTTCTGCCTGCAGATTTTTCCACTCTTCATATTTCTTCCTCTATTTATTGTCTTATTTATCAAAAACACTCACATTTAGATGATCAGGACTGTTAAAAAATCTGTCTGGATTGAATTAATTGCTGGTAAATAACAGTGTGCTGCAAAGTTATGATTTTTGATATTTTCAGAAGTTTGTTAAATTTTTCAAATATTCAGAGTTGATCATAGTTCTGGTAAATACTGTCAAAATAGGAGGCGCTTCAGTCACGTTCAGGACAAACTGTTCACTCTGAAGTCCGTCTTGGGAGGAGTGCTTTTCGCCTTCTCTATTCTTAGAGTAGAGTAATTGAATCTGCCTTGTGGTCAGAATATTCTCCGGCACATCACACTTGTAACACGCGTCATTTGGTTGATTAAAAAAAACTTAAAAAGAGACCGGAGGTCTCTTTTTAACTGTAGGAGGTTTTTAACTGTTACATAAGTACAATTGAATGAAAAATCTTATTCAATTTAATGTCCATTTAATATATAATATATATGTTTTTATGCTGGAGCTTATTGTAGTCTATGCACATTGTTTCCCAAGAAACCTAATTGAGTAGTCTTTGTTTGTGTGGTCTTGGACCTAAAGCATACAATATTATGTCATGCAATTGAGTTGATGCTTTTTGTTTTGTTTTTAATTCAAGTTCATACAAAATATTATATTTCTGCATAAAAAGTATCTTGTGTTTTAAGTTAATTTTCTATATTTCTTTTAAAAATCATTTTCAACAATTTGACACAACAAATGTTGATTTAAGTGAAATTGTTTTCTTAATTTAAATTTTTAAAAATGATCATTAAACACACACACTATACCTGTGAATATCAGACATGTTACCTTGTTGGAAAAAAATATATTTTATTCTCTGTCAGACTTATTTGTTGTGTTTTTCATGTTTGCAACTAAGCTAAATTAATTATCTTGTCTTTTTAATGGTCAGTGAAATAGCTGAGTCAGCATTTAAAACTGGCTGCACCCTAAACATTGATAAGGAGTTGATTACTTGATTTAGGAACCTCATTTTAGTGATTCACTTCAATGAAACCTCAGTCATTCTTCAACGCACTAACACTGTCGTACATTTTATAATTTTAAGTCGGTTGGGGTCCTAAAAAATATTGCTTGTTAAAGCTAAATGTAAGAAAATAAACAATGGATCCAGACTTTAGATCAGTTCTAGATGATCTGACGAAGAGCCCAAATTCTACATCCGTCAGCAATTTTAAGAACTATAGGATGACTGTGAAGGTAGATGGTATTGCCAGTAAAGCCGAAACAGATGAGAAGCAGCACTCCAATGTAAAACTTATCTAATATAATGGGTAAAAATGCAGAATTCAAAGACACAAAAGTGGCTCATTATAATAATTTGTGCAAATAACACAATGAGATTTCTGGTTTTCAACTGTAAACAGTCAATTACATAGTAAGCAGGATATTTAAATTTAAAGTATGACACAAAGGTGTTGATGTGTTTCACAGGTTTTCCTAAAGAGGCTGCAGTCCACGCAAGCCACACCTGGACTGAGGCGCGTCGAACAACTAGCAGATCACCAGCGACTGACCTCAATGCCCATCTACAGGCCCTATAGTGGTGGGTCCAGCAGAATAGCCTGTGGTAAGTGCTTTTAAATCTGCAGAAGCTAAACTCCAAAGCTTTATTAATGTCAATATCTTTGTATATTTCAGGTACAGCAGAGTTCATGCAAGGTTCTCAGCTAAATGCATTGTTTTAGGAAGAGTTTGCTTCCTATATGATCTTACCATGTGAAAGTATTCCTGCCATTTGAACTTTCCTCAGCATTTCACACATTAATTGCTTTTACAGCAGCGAGTCTTTTGAGGTCCTTACCAGCTTTGCAGCTCAAGAGGACAACTTGTCAGTTATGTTTTTTTTGTGTAAAAGCACAGTAATATCGTATGACTTTGACATAGATCTGAACTTTGACTGGGTTCTTTTAAAACATGGATATGCTCATTCGCAGAGGTCCTTAAAGGATAGTGTCCTGGGACTGTTGCGTATCTGCTTCTACACACCTTAAACAATACGTTTATTAGTTGTCGTCTGTGGTACATCACTGTGTACAGTCTAAAAGTTCAGGGAATGGGGTTTGACATCTGTGCTGTAAACCATTCCAGTGCAACTCTGACCGTTTCTGACCCTGACTTTTTCCTGTCGGAAATATTCACAGAAACTTGTATTTGTACAGAGTTTAAACAGAGATGGACTCTTGTTTATTGGATAAGGGATTTAAGACAGTTGGTTGTATTGGATTCTACTTATCAGATTAACAGAAGTCTGAATCAAGACGGACGTCACGCTGTTTAAATTATATTTTTGTTAAAGACTACATTTTTCAGATTTTTTCACTTCATAATTATGCAGTATTTTATGTTGGTGTTTGACACATTGAAGTGTGGTCATAATATAAAAATTAAAAATACCTTCAAGAATAATTAATAATTCTGAAAAGTACTTTGAGCTGGTTTTATGAAGACCCAATAAAGTTATGCAGAAAATATAATGTGAAGGTTTACCTCAGACAACATCACTTTTGAGGTAAATTTGCACCATTAAACTGCTGCTGTGCATCTATATATCCATGCCTTCAGAACTTTGTATTTACTCTAGTGTTGATTTTCAATCAAAGAAAATGAGGATCAGTATGTGGTAGTGAGCGGCACTTCTCTTAAACTGATGCTGCAGGTTTTGTTGCACGTCTGGACTGCAGCTTCCAGATGGCTGCAGAGATTAAACTAACTCAAAAATTGGAGCAGCTGCAAGCTCTTGTTGGGAATCACTCGTTCATTTATGAGTAAATTGCTTAATCTTCCTGTTTCCATCATTTCGTTGCTTTTTAATGTCAGTTGTTTTTTTACTATGGTGCGAAAAATCAATACTTAAGTTGTAATAATAAAATGAGTTGGTGAAGCCTGTGTGCCAAATGACTCGCTTGTTCCAAAACAACTGCCGTCTGTGCCTGAGTTACCTGAGGGAATTTCTCCTGTCTTCCTCTCAGAGTTTATCAGACCCAGGCAAGGCTCCTCCAGCGCAGGTCTCATTAACACCTACACCAGAAGGACAACTGTTCCTGGGATCGCTCCACGAAAATCTAGCACTCCATCCTGGCATTAAGACCTCTGCTAATAAAGAGCAATTTCTTTCGGTTACAGCATATGACTGTCACTTTTTGATGTTGATTGTTTTGTACAGTGCAAAGCTTAGAACATATTTATGCTTTTATTATTATTTCATGTAATTTACTCATGCTGCTGTTTGTTTTCTGCTCTTCATCAATTTAGCAGTTTATGTTTTCATATCAAAGCCATTTGTAAATAACGACACTTACATTGACCTTTTAATTCAGTGAGAAATTTTGGCTTTTAAATATTAATTGATGCTGTGGTTTGATATTGTCTGCTGAGTAATTTTTAAGCAAAAAAGTGCAAATATGTTTTGGTATTTGTTGCTGTTTACACATGTGTGTGATTTGTGATCTAATAAAACATTGTTCTAAACCAGAAAAAAATTAGTTGCGTATTAATTATTGGTTTATCCTGTTGAAGAAAAGATGTCAAAAATTTTATTCCAGAAAAGGCCATAAAAATGGAGTTGCGGAGCAGTTACGTTTTCTCATTTTTGTGGTGCAATCTATCTTAAAAGTGTCCATGCTCCTTGAACATTAAACTACAAACCTCAGTGTGTTTTAATTGTACGTAATGGAACACAACACAAAATAGAATGAGTTATGAGTTTGTAAATGTTTTACAAATAAAAATCTGAAAAGAGTGACATGCATAGTTATAGGCCCCTTTACTTTGATACCTTCAGAGCAAAATCAGTTGCTTTTGGAAATCACCTGTCATGTAATCTTATGTCTTTATCGTCAGGAAGACTAAGAGCCACATGACATGTCAGGGACAAAGTTATGGAGAAATTTAAAGTGTGGGTTATGAAATAATATCCCTACCTTTAGCGATACCATGGACTACGGCTCATTTGATGATTTAGCTGTTCACATCAGCCACAGTAAAACGTGATAAAATAGCTGAGTTTTGATATGTGAGGGCATGACACATTTTAGACTTCCCAACATTGTCGTCATGGTCTATCACACAAATTGTACATAAAGTGGGAATTGAACAAAAATAAATGATTTGAGGTGTGTCAGGACTTTCGCAGGGCTCCTCTTTGTGGACCTTGTTTCAATAAAGACACCAGGAAAACCACAGATGGCAATGAATGATGTTTTCACTGTAAGCTTTTCAAGAGTTAGGCATCTGTGTCGGGGCACACTCGCTCCATAAATACTGATGTTAAATGAAACCGGGTATTCACATCAATGACACAGTAACCCAAACATACCAGGGGAAAGTGGTGTTATTAAGGACAACAGAGAGACTGGAGTATAGACTGAGTCTTTATTCTTAATAAATTAATGTTTAAGGTGGTCACAGCGTATCATAAGGGCCTCGGCCCCTCCTTAACACTAACAGGAGGAACATTTGGCCTGTATCATAATCTGTTCTCACATCACGTCCACCAGCTGTTGAAACCTAGAGACTTCCTTTTTGCAGATGGTTGATAATATTATATATACACATTTCTGATGAGGCATAAACCCAGGTCAAGTACACTTATCCGTTCTCCCCCTGCTGCTGCACAGGAAAGATAACCTACAAACCCAGATTCTTAATTCACCAGGTCGGTGTCACCATATCACAAAAAATAATAATAATAAGACTTGAACAAAGAATGGATTTCCTTGAGGTTCTGGGAGAGTGTGCTTATTTGGTGAACTTCTTAATCTCATCATACAGCACCAGCACAAAAGCACCACCCATGCCTCTGATCACGTTGGACCAGGCTCCCTTGAAGAAGGCCCGACCTCCCTCATCTTTGAGGATCTTCTTCCAGCAGTCAATTGTGCCCTTGTACATAATGTCAGCTGTGGAAATTCAAACATCAGCGTTAATATCCACATGCTTGTGTGTAATTCTCCTGTTGTTGGTATGCGTGTGGAACCTTCACAAGCAAAAGAGACACTTGCCTCCTTTACGTCCTGACTGCATCATCATACGACGTCTGACGGTGTCAAAAGGATACGAGACGAGACCTGCTACAGCCGTGACGGTCTGGGCGATCATCCAGCTGACAATGATGTGTGTGTTCTTGGGGTCTGGCAGCATGCCTGCATGAGGGAAGTCAAAGCAAATAAATGTATACACACATCTGCTAAAACGCGTCTTTCAGTTGCACCTTGAAAAAGTTTCCTATTGCTTTCAAGCATTTTCAGTCTACAGGAAAGTTTGTGCCCCTTGCTTGATGATGAATGAGACTAATGAACTTAAATTTTGATGATTTCATGCATTTTGATTGATCGGGGCAGCAGTTTAGGTCGACCGGGTTTGTTTGTGCACCTTTTGCTGTATCAAAGCATCCGAAGTAAGCCGCCCTGTAGATGATGATGCCCTGCACCGACACGTTGAACCCGAGGTAAAGACCCTTGAGGCCATCGGTTTTGAAGATCTTGGCAATGCAGTTTCCGAGTCCGGTGAACTCCCTCTCCGCTGGGCCCTTGCCGATGTCGGCGGCCAACCTCGTCCTAGCGAAATCGAGTGGGTAGACGAAGCAGAGCGAAGTGGCCCCTGCGGCGCCGCCCGACGCCAGGTTCCCAGCAAAGTAGCGCCAGAACTGTGTCTTCTGATCCACGCCACCAAGGAAGATCTTCTTGTACTTGTCTTTGAAGGCGAAGTTCAGGGCTTGGGTGGGGAAGTAACGGATCACGTTGGCCAGGTTGCCTCTCCAGAAGGACACGAAGCCCTGCTCCTTCGGGATTCTGACAACACAGTCAATGATGCCTTTGTACTGCATATCGGCGGTGATCTGTTTGCTGGCATGCTGCACCTGCAAGGGAGAAAACCAAGATGCCGCCTTTACACCTGGCTTGTTTCAGGAGAAGTGTGAAGAAAATAAACGTGTAATTTTGACCTTTTCATTGAGCAATCTTGTTGGACACCCTTCAGCTTGCCAGACATTATCTAGTGATCTGGTTTAGTTTGTCCAGCAGTCTTAAGGCACATCCTAGACACTGGAGACTTCACTGCGTATTGGATTACATCTTTTAGGTTAAATTTAGCAATTCTCTTCCACTGAATATTACTATGTTAATGTGCTTTAAGCGAGCAATAACGAAATTGGAAAACATTGACAGAATATCATGAATAAGTGCTTAACTGTTTTATTCTGATCCCACGTCATTTTAGCTTCCCACCATCCTTTAAACCTGTGCGTAAAATGATCTCCAAGTTGACCCTCGCGTGCCCGTTGCCATTACGCACACGATTATACGAACCTCCCTTGTTCTTAGTTCAACGTCTCCTCTTTTAAAGAAATTTCCTATGAAATTTAATTCCTTGTTTATCAGCGATCCATAAATTACACACACTTTACGCACAAAACACGGCATGACCAACAGCTGGCTAAAGCCGTTTACCTGCAGCAGCAGCTTGACTCTCTCAATGGGAGCGACAGCTGTTTTGGAGATGGCAGCGGCAATGCCACCGGCCAAAAAGTCCTTCATGAAACTAATCACCGCGTCCGACATGGCTGGTTGATTTCTGGAGTAGTCTCTCTCTCTACTTGGCTGTTCCAAACTCGGCCTAAGATCCTCAAGGAAACCTTACGCCCGTCCAAGTGGTCGAGGCACCCCCTCAGCAGTTCTTTATATAAGAAGGCCGTTTATCGCGAGACGTTTGAGTGACAGATGTGCAGTCTGTCGAACAGACGAACGAGGCTGAAAAAATATCCGAGGTTGAAGTTCAGGTCGTGCGCCATATTTCTAGATCCAGGGGATTGGGGGTAGGGGTCGCCCAGAGCCGGGGACATTTAAAGGGCATATTGTGTGTTGGCAGATAAACTCTAAAATTAAATTTGGTGTTAATAATTAGATTTTCTCTTTCGGCATTCCCCTCAATAACGGTGGGGGAAACCAAGTCATCTTCACTTTTCAGCTGCAGCACAACAAGGAAGGTGTTAAAGTGCATCTTAAGGAGCATACCTAATATATTACTTGTTTAAATGTGTATATGTTTCACACATTTATGCTCTTTGAAGTTCTAATTAGTTCACAGGATCGTGCAAATCAAATTACAAATCTGGTCACAGATTTGTGCTTTGGGTGAAGCTGTGCATGAAGATCATCTGTGAAAGCAAATGTTCACCTCAAAGAAATTGTTCAACCTGGGAGAAACAATATATAAAAGGCATAAAAGGTATAGATTTTGACAACTAGTTCAACATTTCTGTAGTTGTCAATTCAGAATTCACAAGTATTGTTCAAATGATAATGTTATGAAACAGTGGAGAACTGCTTGGAATCATGTCAAAAATATTTGTAATCTGTTGGAACTATGAAGAACATATAATTATTTTGGAAGTTAGCTATGATCATTTTAATTCCAATCAGAGAATGCTCCAAAGAAAATGCAGAAAGTCTGTGATTACACACAGATGTTATTAGCCTTTATTTCTGTTCATTTGAATGAAATTCTGATTCTAAATGATTGGGATGTCACACCAGAGGATCTTACATCTGACCAATAAAAACTTTATAAAAACATTATCAATCACAAATCAACCTCATACAGAAAATCTTCATAATGTCGTTTTTACATATAATTTAAAATAAAAAAGTGATCATTTTATCCAACCTTGAAAATATGTATTGAGCTATCAAACAAATAGAACCAATTTTTTCCTGTTCTGCTCTACATGAAAGAACCACTAGATGGGGTCAATCGACTATGTGTATTCCTCCATAAAACTGCAAAATACTGGCAATAAGTTTACTGTACTCCAGTAGCATCCATAATCCACAGATCTCAGTCAAACAGAGCACCTTTGGTGGAATAGGAAAATTACATTGCAGATATAGAGTTGGCAAATCCGCAACTTTGTCAGTTCAGAGCAAAATCTCTGTTTCTCAGATTTGGCTGAAACTGTGATGAAAAAGTTGAACACTGCACCGGTACAGATGGGGCGTATCTAATTCAGAGAGTGAATATTGGATTGATTTCAGATTTATTTGACGTAAATGTAACTTATTAACTACACACTTCTTTCAGTGGAATTATAATACATTGAAGAAATGCTGATGAGATGTTACAATTGTACTTTTTCTATTTTTTATTATTCACAATTTAACAAAGAAATACACACAAAAATAATGGATGTAGTGTTCTTTCAATCTGAAACAGATAAAAATCATCCACACATTTTCTAACATTAAATTTAACATAGAGGTTTGTTTTCCTAGTTTAGCTTTGTCAACAACTTTGATTAGTTTTATCTCAAAGGGTTTACAGCTGTTTGTGTATTTGCTCTGGGGCTGAAATGTTTAATTGACTCGGTAGGGGGCGATATTGAGTTGAGTAATAATCAACATCTTCATTGGTCTCCCCAAAGAGTAAATGTGGTACCCAATAAAACAGGTGCTTTTCCTTACTTACCACACAACAATAACAATTAAATCAGTACTTTAATTGTTCCACACAGGGTGACATTTTAAGTAGCTCCCAGCAAAGAGGTCATAGGTCAGTTTCGGCTTCAGTGTTGCGACCCCAGAGCTGGTTAGGAGTTCAGCACCTGCAGCTTATGGCCAAGCAAAAGTCACATGATGTGTAGCTATATATATATATATAGATAGATAGATAGATAGATAGATAGATAGATAGATATAGATAGATAGATAGATAGATAGATAGATAGATAGATAGATAGATAGATAGATAGATATAGATAGATAGATAGATAGATAGATAGATAGATAGATAGATAGATAGATAGATAGATAGATAGATAGATAGATAGATAGATAGATAGATAGATAGATAGATAGATAGATAGATGGAGTTTTATTTTGTTTTTGTTGGCCATTGTGAGTTACCTGAATCTTAAAAAGTTAAACAGTGTTAAGCATGAATAATTTATTTTTAAATTCAACTTTTTGGCACAAAAAAATCTATTGAGTTTTTTTTTTGGATAAATAAACATGGAATCATAAAATCAGCTTGCATTAATGATTAATTATTTTTGTTTCTTAATGGTATTTTGTTTTGTTTTTTTCTTTATCATTCTTGCGTCAAAGTAAAGTTACCTACTATAACAACCAAATATGGAAATATCAGAAATACATTTTAATAATTTATTATCATTATTATTATTTTACTCAAAACGTTGATATTTTATGTCATCAGCCTCCAGATATAATCTAAATCTGATCTAGATTTCTTAAAGCCGTTGCCCGGTAAGCCCAGATCTTTGGGATTGAAGGAGGGGTCACGGTGTGGGTGGGGTGAGCATGGATTTGCATTTTGAGTATGAAGACCTGCAGGTGTCAGACAGTTAGCCCCCACTAACACAAACACACAACCGTTACGCATCATTCACACACACTAATACAGTCACTGATTTTATCAGTTCAGAAAATCAACTGTGACAAACTTTTTATTCTCCTCAGAGCTCAAAAAAAAAAAATCCTACTTTATAAATGTCTGACTGGGTTAAAACCACTAGAAATTAAGGACAAAACATGTATACACAAGACTGTAAGTTCTTTTGAATTTGTTCCGTTCCTCTTTTGGTACATGATAAAATTACATTTTTATGTTTATAAGCCAGAAACCCTTTATTTTAAAAGTGGCACAGAAACATTAAAACCAGTGAAAGTAAACTTTGTAAACCAAATTTGTTTTGTTTTATCATTTTTCACAGGCTGTCAAAAACAAGCCATCAACATCTCAAAGTGATCTCCTCCAAATCATTTTCAAAGGCAGCTCATCTCTTTGGACACTGGCAGGCTTTTAGTTTGGATAGACAAACATTTTTTAAACAAGATCAGTTCAGCAGCGAATATTTACAACGAAATATGTGCAACTTGCAAACAGTGGTTGTTCTTCAAATAGTTGCGTAATCTGTCTCTTTTACATTATACTCAGACACAATAAATGTCACACAAGTTCAGAGAAAAGTAATGTCTTTGTTATAGTTTTGTGTCTGCTGAAATGTGGTTTGAGATTATCTTAAAACCTTGAGAGTAGATTAGATTTGAAAGGGCCTAGACGCTGTTGATAAATCAATTTGTTTTCATGCATGCATGCGTGCGTGTGTGTGTGTGTTTGTTAGTGTGCCTGAAAGTGCATTCCTGACCCTTTGATCGTGGGATAAGTCCCTGCTTGTTGGTCCATCTTGATTTTATGGCTGGAGAGAGAGCCGTTTGACCTTTCAACCCTCTTGTGTGGGAGTGGAGCTTCTCGGTGTCCGGCGCTCCTGTCAGCGGGTTAATAAGAGACGGCTGTTCATGGCCACGCTGAGCAGCCAGACCGGATGACCACCCTCTGCTGTCACTCTGCCGGACACCCTTCATCCCATTTGGGCCTTCTCAAAGTGAGGCTTAAACTCAGAACTTAAGCTCAGGTTTGCACAGCTGCTGCTGCAGCTTTCACTGCCATGCAACAGGAAAGGTGACCCGAACTAATGCTGCAGTCTTATACTACATACATTGGATTTATTAAGAATCACTTTATTCTGTGTCTCCTGCAGCCTGGATGTTAGGTTCTTGAATATCAAGATTAATTTATGACTGCAGTAAAACAATAATTTTTTTTTCACAAACTTATGTTCAACCAAAGATTGACAGGCTCCTCCAGTGTTCCTTGTTTCTGTGTTGGAAATATATATATATATATATATATATATATATATATATTATATATATATATATATATTTTTTTTTTTTTTTTCCAAACTGATTAATTTATGTGCAGTAAAGCAGTTGAAACAATATGGATCTGTTTTATTCAAAAGCAGAGAGTAGGTTTAAAGTCAAAGTTAGAAAATTGAATATTTTACTTGGCTTTTTGAGTCAGCATTTGTGGCTAACAAAGGCCACAGCAATTAACTCTAACAAATAAATGTTAGCATTCAATCATCATTCTTTTGATTTTCCATTATTCAAGGTCTGGATTACAGGGGCCTTGTGTTCTTCTCCACTGACTAAGGAACTAAAAGGGCGAAAGAAAACCTGTTAATGAAACAGCTGGATAACAGACTGTACCACATTTATAGTCTGTTATGCATTTTCTATGTAAATAGGTGATCATAGTAATTTATTTTTGTTGTAATGTTTTTTCATTTAGCATTTTTAATTTTTTTAGTTTTTGTGTTTTCACACTTAAAACCTTTGTAATATAACCAGATAATCACTTGATTAAGCAAGTGATCATTCATTGTGACATTTCAATGTCAAGTAAAGACATAACCTGAACTATTGTTGATGGCGTCAGTTATGAGCAAATCAGAAAATACCTTTATTTACAAACGTACCACCATTGCGACCTAAAACATAAATCAAATCTATTTTTCTGATCACATGAGAGCTGGTCATTGAAAACTAATGGCTCAGGTTTTAATATCACTTTCCTTTGCAAACTTTACACCTGGTGTTGCTTTCTGATCTCCATTGACCCTATGTGTGTATGTGTGCGTGTGGGTGCGTGCGTGCGTGTGTGTGTGTGTGACCCACCATGCAAATGGACAGGCTCCTGCCTACCCCACATTAAGTCTGTGGCCACAAAAACACGGCTGACAGCGGCCAGTCCCAGTGTGTGCTCCGGTTAAAGCGAACAGGGTAATGAATTTTAAACTGCTATAG